CGCCGACATTACGGTAGTAACAGCGGTTACCTCCGCTAGCGTTACATAGCAACACAGCGCTAGGCAAAAAGGGTGCCTAGTACGCGGCCGTTTTCCGTATGGTCCGATCGAGGCTACATGAGGCGCAGCAAAGGCTATTCAAAGAGTTGTACTGAGTCAGTCAGTCAGTCCTGGAGCTACCGCCGAGTGAGTCCTCAAGCCACCTCCGAGTTAGTTCCGAGTTAGCCAGCAACCAGTCAGTTGTATTCTGGCATTTGGAGTGTACTATTTGTGATACTGCAGATAGCAGTAATCGTCAGATTGTAATTTGGGTGATCGTAAGTGCGAATGTGAAATAAAATTCGCTACATCAAATACATCGAGAAGTTATTCGTCGCGATATAAGCCCGATACGCGACAACTGGTGTCAGAAGTGGGATTTCGATCTCAAGACACGCGACAACTGGTGTCAGAAGTGGGATACGAACTTACACACGTGACCGACGGGATTTGAACTTACACACGTGATCAACGAGCTTCGAACTCAAGACACGTGACAATTTGGTGTCAGAGTTTTTACGAGCTTAAACACGCCACAAATTGAATTATTGTGCATCGTGTACTCTACTGCGACAAGATGGAGATGCAGCAGATGATGAAAATGCTGGCGAGGATGGACGCCGATAGGAAGAAAGAGAAGGAAGAGAGGAGGAAGGACAGGGAAGTGAGGGAGGAAATTAAGAGGAAAGACAAAGAAGAAATGTTGAAAGAGATTAGGGCAACCCAAGAAAAAGTGGAGATGGGCCTCAACGAATTACTGGCCAGATTGGAGGCATATCTAGAGGAAGAAAAGCCGGCCCCAGTGGACATGAAACCTGAGGCGGAACACCAAGAAGAGGTCCCTGCAGACGACGTCACAGTGATACCGGTCAGTGAACCTGAAGATCAATTGATGCCGATTACCCAAAAAGAGACGGTGGCCTGCCAAGTGGACACGAAACCTGCGACGGCACGACAAGAAGAGATCCCCATAGTCATACCGGTCGGAGCGACGATGGCCTGCCTAGTAATGGAGGCACGTCAAGAAAAAGAAGATCTGGCCTCAGCGAACAGGAAACCTGAGGTGGCAGAATTACGAGAGGTCCCCGTAGAAGACGCCGAAGTAATGCCGGTCGGAGAACCGAAGAAGAAAAGGCGCAGGGACCGACATCGACGAGATATAAGGAAACCGGCTCGGGAGAATTGCGGACCCCAGAATAAATTGGCCGTCGTCCGCAGGAAGGTGTCCCGCCGCGCAACAGTGGCACGGCGCAAATGCCATATCTTCAGGAAATCTTGGACCCTAGGAGATCATGAACCCCGGATGAAGTTGGCTGCCATCTGCTGGAAGACATCCCGTCGCGCGACAGTGGCACGACGTTGGAGAATTGCCTTCAAGAAGGAAACTCCCCAGGGAACCTTCGGATGCCAGCGGAAAGAAGTGACCGCCACCGGAACGAAGAATACAGAGGAGGATAAAGCTTGGAAGTACCCTCAATGCAACACTGGCATAAAGGACAAAGGTCTGAAACGGCGACTACGAGTCAGCAACCAATTGAAGGACCAAACCAAGAACGCCATCGGAGGGTGTAGATCAGGACAGCGATCACACCTAGGAGGGAGAAGTACTCGGGAGACTACTTTCTACGAGATATTCGGCAGGAGAATTGCGAAGCAAATAGCCGGATATTCTGTCGGATTACGAC